TCCAAACAGAACCAAGGTGAAATTTAAAAAGTAATAAACATTTATAATTGATAGGGAAAACAATCATACCTATCCTACTTACTAAGCAAAATTTAGTACTTTACCAAACAAAATTCCTAAGAAGCAACTTAGTCTTTAAAAGAACTTGCAACTTTCAGGGACAGTCTTGCTTGGAATTTCTTATAACTCATTCTACAAACAGCTGTAACACATTTTTTTTACATTAAACAGGACACTACATTTGATAGGAAACCAGTGTGACTTTATTTGGTTTCCCTTTTTTTCCAAGGATTTTTTTTTTAAATGAATCACTGACCACATTTAAAAAAGCAGTAGCAGAACACAAGGTTCTCAACAGACTTCTATCCTGGATGCAGGGTATCAATGGGAGAATAATATTACCACCACCCTCAGCTACAGCAGTCTGAAGTCTAAGTCCTGGTTTATTTTTACCAAAATAAGTGGATACACAGCTTTGAAAAACAGGCAAGACTTTGAATACATACAACCTAAGTGAGTATGAAAATAATGCTTTTGATGGGATACTTCTGTATGCCTCTAAACACTGCAGTTAAAATTACCTCCACAGTTATAAAAAAACTGCATAAATGCATGGGATTGCTGCTGACAAACAGCTGAAGTCCCTCCCAGGCACACTAGCATGCTTACACTAGACAGGAACACTCTCCAAGAACTAGAAAGTGCAGTGAGCTCTTTGAGATTAGTACTGTAGTTTACTCACACAAAAGGCCAGGCCAAAGTTTAATATCTATGTTTTCAGAAGTGTTGCTTAGTCTTTAAAATAATTACTACTACAAATATTCATCCCATTCAATCTGCTACAAATAATGGTTCTAAAAAAACCCAGCATCTTTTTGTGTTCATGTGTCTGAAAAGAGAGTGGCTACACACAAGAAAATTTGCAGCAGACTTAACAGCAGCAGCAGGAAAAAATACCATTCTCCCTACATGTGAGTGAGGTGTGTGTTTGTTTTCAGAACAGACAAGGCAGTCTCATCTCTCACCTGTGCATGGAACACAGAGTAAGGCACTTGGTAAACTCAGAGGTGACCATAAAACTGATGGGTCTGAGATTGTACCATGGAGATACAGTGACATCAGGAAACCCAGGAAACTGACATGCTGCTTTCCCTCACAATCCCACTAAGAGTACTTAAACTCTGCTAGCCATCAATGAGCAGCACTGTAGGATTAGGTCAGATTTGAAATAATTTTATAATGATCAAATTTAAAAGGTACATCCCAGGCAGCATGGAAGAAATATGCAGCTCAAGTGAGCGCCTGTATCTACATTGCAAAAAACCCTAAATCACAGAATCACAGCACAAACTGCTCTGTACTTTATTGCTGTGTTGTAAAGAGGCCTCAGTGAAATTTTCAGGGATGTGCTTTAGAACAGACAAATACATTTTCATTTGTTACTCCCATTATAATACAAAACTAAAAATTTTTGCATAAACATAGTTTTAAATCTTTTCAAACTACATGGGGCAATTGGCCAATATTGCTTTTGCATAGTCACATAATTCTAAAGACTATGCAACAAAATGATAGTGCAGCTATGGCAAACCCTGCCAGCTGTCTATTTCATTCCAGGTATTGTTTCCATAATAACCTATTCCTGCTATTGTTACCTCATTGCCACTAATGAAGTCTAGGTACATGCTACTGCCACACCTTTATTTCAATGACCTAAGCAGTTTAATTCCTGCACAGAATACCCACGTAGCTCCTTCAGTTCATTTTTAAACTTTCGGCAAACAATAAGGCATTATTTATTTCTTTAAAATAATACTCTCCAAGGTAGACAGTTTATACTCAAGCTACGTTCCCTACACAAAATTACCTAAAGAACAAAAGCCCAAACATATTATAAAAGCTATTAAGACACTCCAAGACAGTACAAGGAGCTAAAGTTGCAAAAATTCCCTATATAAAATTACCTAAAGAACAGAAGCCAGAGCCCAAACATATTATAAAAGCTATTAAGACACTCCAAGACAGTACAAGGAACTAAAGTTGCAAAACAGCTCACCCTCCCCTTGCTGCAGCTGCTCGGAGCATCCCTGCGGGGCGGCGGGTCCCTGCCAAACGCCGTGAAATCCGGGGCAGGAGGGCTGATTCCCCCGGGCCCGCCGTGAGCACAGAGGCAAATGAAGTACCAGGTTCCTTCCACAACAAGCCACCCAGGCGGAGAGAGGGGCCAGGGCCGCCCTCCCTCCCTCCTGCCCCGCCGGGAGGGGCGGGGTGCGGCTGCCAGGGGGTCAGCTCGTCGGGACAACCCCCCGTGCTGCAGGAAATCCGCAAGAGGTGATTTACGGGCAGGGCTCATTCCCATCCCACTGAGCTGACAGTTCAGCTGAAAAGTATTAATCTGCGCCCTGAAAGCTTGTTAAATAAGGAACCTTACCCTTAGGCTGGAAAAAAAAATTAAAAAAAAAGAGTAGGGGTGGGGGGTAGGAGGGGAGAGGGATGAGGTAGTGTTGCACAAGCTTATCAGTGCCCACTTGCTGCAGAACATGCCCTTGCAAGAGCTGTGTGTGAAGAACTACTACTATTTATATCTGTAACACTTCCAAGTTGCTGCAAATCTCTAGACAAGTTTAATATGTGAAAATTACCTGCTTAAAAACACAATACCCCTATTTTCTGGCCAGCTTTTTCTCCTATGTTGGAGAAGCCTCAACTTCATTCACACTTTTTAAAATGCTTTCCAAAGCTAGAGCCCTTAAAATAGGAGTGAAGAGAAATAAATAAATATATTGTATGAAGAGCTGACCCAATGGCCTGTATGACCTGTACTTAGGCATCAGTTTAACATGCAGCAGCATGGCATCTTGATGGGAAGTAAAAACATAACATCTATGAACTTCATTGAAGTGAACAAAGTTCAAGCAGTTGGCTTTATACTGACAATACAATCATATTTTCATTGAAACAATTATTTGCAGTTTACTCATTTAATCCTTTCATAATTACCTAAGATACTCATCTCAACATTCACAGAAACAAATATGTGCAGTACACACTCACTCAGACAGTTCCAGCAAAAGCTACAAACTCACAACTAAAGACTTCCAACATGACTAAGTCTGCTTGGATCCAGAATCTTTCTCTACTTACTGCTCAGCAGTAGTCAGGCACAAAAACGTTTTCCTATTAACGTAATCACTTAACACACGCTATCCCACTCCCTGGTCCCTTGACCTTTCCTTCCTTTGCTTTGCTGACAGTTCCTCTTTTTCCAGGGAGCACTTGCACTTATACACAATGCGCTGCAGTGGCAGCTCCCAAAGACTTCGAGGTTTCTTCAAGAAACAGAGTAACTTTCCACACCATATGCAAGGGAACACAACAGCATCACTGAGGAGAGTACCTTCACTATCAGCTGTTCTACCTCAGCAGTCTAAGTACACAAAGTATGTGCTATGCTCCGGTTTGGAGTCTTTCTACCTTTTCAGCATAAGCTATTCCAAGGCTTTACAACTCAAATGCCAGTTTCACCCAGTAAATAACTGACTTACAGTCATGGGTTGGAAGGAGTTGAGGTATTTTTACCCTCCACTAAGTTTTGACATTCTTTTTTTTTTCTTTTTTTTAAAATTTTTATAAATAGTCTAAGTGGTAAGAGTGGCTAAATGAATTGATTTTGTGTTTCTACTTTAAAATACTAAAATGTGAAAAACACTTTATACACTTTTAAGCAATACGATCACTGATAGCATATTAGCACTCAGAATATTGCAATGTAAGCATTCAGTTGTAGTTTAAATATTTTAAGTGAGACTACAGTATAACCAGTGAACCTTTCCATGCAGATTACTATTTGAAAAGTATGAGAGTATGACTTTTGTGTACAATGTATGGTGTACAGCAGTTTGCATACCTGAAGTGCAGCTAATGTATACTATCAAAACTTGATTTCCTATGTAGTTACAGTAAAATCTCCCAAACTTTTAATTAGTAAAGCAAACAGCATAGGGGGAGGAAAAAAATCAGAATATTAGTTTAAATTTTAATCCACACAACTCCCTCCCTGCCCCATACTGAAATGAATAATAAATGAGCTAGGTCATGATTACTTTCAATAACTATATCAGAAATCTTCAAAACAATGAGATGAGGGCAAGACAGACATCAAAGGTCTCCCTAACAATGCCACATACTTATACAACCACATACTATGCATCTTTTTTATGCATCAGCATACCAGGAACTGCATAACCACAAGTACCAAAGGTACTTGAGTTTTATGTTACGAAACTTAATATGCAAACAAAAATTAACCGAGAATTTTAAGTATTTGTGTCTGGAATCCGAGAACTTAAGCCCAACCTTCACCATGCGTCTGGGCAGAAGTAAGGTTTTCAGACTGGAGCGTCACCTTATACCTCCCGTCAACTCTGTCACACAGCAGCAGCAGCAGCTCGCCCAAAGCGTCAGTAACTCCAAGAGACTTCTCAACAAATGGAAAGTCTGGGGTTTTGTTGTCATCGTCCTCCCACGCCTCCCGGGCCGCTTCGTTCCAGTGCCCAGCTGCTCCCTGAGCGCTCCTCAGCCCGCCCTCCCTCCGCGCTGCCCAGCGCAGGACCCCGCTCCGAGGCGCCTGCGGGGCGCGCCCCAGCTGCCAGCGCCGGGATCGGGATCGGGGCCGGGATCGGGACCGGGATCGGGACCGGGATCGGGACCGCTCCCCGCTCCACGGCAGGAGCGCAGCCCGCGGGCTGCCTCTGCTCATCAGGTGTTTCGCGTCTCTCTGTACACGCAGTTGTTCCCCGTGCAGCCCGCCCTCCAGCAACCCCGAAAGCTCAGACACTTTAAAAAAAAAAAAATCCTTCTCCCACTTTTAGGGAACCCCCCCCACTTCCAAAGGCTTCTCCAGCATCTTTTCCTTGGTGGAATTCCCAAGCCGTCCGTTCAGAGGGACTCGCAGCCACATGCCCAGAGGAACTGGCATCTAAGCGGGGGCACGGGCTTACCTTTGCCTCCCCCGCGTCGGGCTCCTCCTCGTAGTAGCCCTGGCCGGACTCGTAGGCGGCGGCGGCGGCCGGCTGCCGGGGTCCCAGGAGCACGGCGCCGGCAGCCAGGCAGCAGCTCAGGGAGAGCACCTCCAGCAAGTGCATGGCGCAGGGAAGGCAGAGCGGGCGCGGAGCGGGGCCGCGGGGCAGTCGGAAGAATGCAGCCGAAATTATGAGGCTCCTTCTTTTCCTCTCCCCCCTTTCTTTCGCTGTCCTCTCCCCCCTCCCTCCCCTCGCAATATCCAAGGCAGCAAAATCCGTGAGATGGAGAAGATGCGGTAGCAGCAGCTCCTATGCGCCTGCAGGGGAGTTCCCAACTTTCCCAGCCGCTTTGCAAATTCTCACCAAAGTTATCCAGACTTTGCCAGGTAAAAAACCCACCAGGAAACCGGACATCCGAGGCTGCGCTCACTCAGGAGCAGGGGAGGTGGAAAGCGCAGAGAGGAGGAGGAGGAGGCAAGGGAAGGAGGCAGAGAGAGCAGGGAGCAGCAGAGCGGGACCGAGCGGCCGGTAGCACCCGGGGAGATCCCTTTGCGCGGGCCGGGCCGGGCCGGGGGCTCGGTGCCGAGGGGCCCCGCTGCGCTGCGCTGCGCTCCGCCCGCCGCGCTGTGCGGACGCCTGTCAGCGGCCGGGGGTGCGCGGCGGCCGCGCATGGCGAAAGCGCCCTCTGCCTGCGCCTCTGCGCGCCGAGAGGGGCCGGCCGCCTTCCTCCTCCTCCTCCTCCGCCACCTCTGCCTCCTCCTCCAGCCGCCGCTGCTGCCGCGGCGGCGCCGCCGGCCGCTGGCGCCCCGGGGAGCGATCGCCCCGCGCCGCGGGCAAGGGGCCGCCCGGGGCGCGCCGCGGCTCTGCCGGGAAGGGAAGGGAAGGGGAGGCGAGCGCGCCCGGTCCCGCAGAGCTGGGCTCGTCCGGCCCCGAGCTTCGGCTCCGCCAAGATGAAGCCCGCGGCAGGTCCCAGCCCCGAGGAAAAAGCGAAGTGCCCGGCTCGGAAGCCGAGGGGTGAAGTTCGGTGAAACTCACACAGAGAAATCATCCAAGAACATTTTTTGCGAATCGTAATCACTTACTTGTTGAGCGGTGTTGGCAGCTTCACTTAGGACAGTATGCAGCTAGTTTTGGCTGCAGAATGATTTTGCCGTGTTAGAAACAGTAATCCAAAGAGCACCATAATTATTTGTAGCCTTCCTATCAATGACATTTTGAAGCCATCTTCGAAGAGAAGTAACACCCCATTCAGAGCCCTAAATAAAACTGAGCACAAATCTTGTGTTCCAGATACACAGTGATTAAAAGTTTAAAAATAATACATATGGCTATCAAAGTAACGCTCTATAGCCTGCTCAAATCTCAACTATGAAAAAGGAAAATGTTATATTCCCTATACTCTTATTTTTTACTTGATTATTGAGCCTTGTGTAAATATTTAAAAAGCTTTTCATTTGTTTTCTGCATCACTTGTGTACATCTTTTGGTAATTAGACTGTATGGGAACCAACTGTGGTGGCAGATCCCTGACTGCCTTGACTAGATGCTGGCAGTCTGCTTGTGTTACAGTGCTCTTATTCTTTGGGAATCCCATTATGTTATTCTTTTGGGAGCGACATTCTGGGAGTTATACATAAAGGTGTCTCTGACAGGCTCTCAGGTACATCCTGGGTTTTTTTATTTATTTGTTATAATTTCCAAGATGGTATTTCAACATGCTGCTACACAAATATTTTGATGCTAGAAAGTAATCACTTCATCTGCAATCAGAATGAAATCTAAAGTTTAAATATGTCTATATTTTAAGAGATTGTATAGTCATTAAAAAATTATTGAAGCACTAAAGTTTTTCCAAATACTTTCAAGATGGTGTAAAGCAATGAAATAAAGACAGGGGTAGAAGTTAAGCAGAACAGCTAGGAAGATACAAAATCGCATACATAAATTAAAAAGACCATTGTTCTTCACTGGACCCTCACAGTGCTTTAGATCAAAGCATAGGATTAAAGCCGAAAGAGAGCATAGTCCAGGATGCAAAATCCATCTACATAGAAATACAACATTACTGATTTGAGTGTAAGCATATTAAAAATCTCTCAAAAATACCACAGACTGGTATAGACAGGAAGTTCTTTTGCAGCACTTTATTAAAACCTGCCTGACAAATCAAGCACAGATAATATTATTTCAATGAGTGCTGTGCAAGGAGAAGCCGCGTAACTAAATCACAAAACAGAATGAAACATACCACTCCTGCTGTGCCATCATAATATCAGCTGGCTTCATTATTTATTTCCCCAGTTCTCCAGCACTTTCATTCTTCCCCCCACAATTCATAGAACATCCATCATGGGATCAAAGGCTTTTATGTAATAGAGCATTTCCACCAACGGCCCTGTATAGCAAGTTTCAAGTGTCATAATTGAAAGCTAGTAATCATAGTCATGGGGGCTCAAGTCTCAGTCTAATCAAAGTCTTAACAAGAAAGTGTTTGAAATCTATGATAGTTTATATGTTCTGTGCACAAACATATAAATATTCCATTGACTCTGGGACATTAAGGTTTTCCTTTGTCTAGACTGTATGTCTCTCCATCCCATAAAAGGTGGCTAATTTGAAGGTTTAAAATTAAAATATATTTCATACTTTCTCCACCACCTAGGTTAATATTTATCCGCTGGTTTTCAAATGAAGTAGAAATCAGCCTACAGGACAATCAATTTACAATTCTAAGTGACATTGTGTACAGTAACAGTGAGCTGACCTTATAAACACAAATGACTAAAGAATAATGTAGAGACACAGGTCTGGATCTGACTGTCCTATATGCTTCAATTATAACAGCTACTGTTGAAAATAAAACCACAATTTTTATGTCAGAAGTAATATTCTTTCAAATGAATTCTTTTGATATTGTTTTAAGAACGAGTTTTAAAAATCCAGGCCCCAATCCCTTGTTCAAGTTGGTGTAGCTTATGTCTGCTGTATGTCTCTCCTGCATCTAGAAATACCTGATGTGTTCCGTTCAGATACATTCTGCTTCTAAAACACAGATTCATTTCAATGCCTGTTTCCATTTGTTAGCAGTGTGAAAACTCACTGCAAGAAATGTGAGCAGAGTGGGAAATACAAGAGAGTTAAGAGCGGCAAGAAAAAACAGTAGCATGCTTTCATAATGAGGCTTACTTGCTTAATGTAGAAATAAATGCTAACAAATGTTTTCTTTTCACATAATGTGATTTCCATTATCTTTATATTTAAATTATTGCTTGATTTAAAGCAATCTCCTTTTCATTCTCCTATTAGACGGACAGAGGCATACTCAATAGTTAAAATAAGATACCATGGTTTGGTTTTGTTTTAATGCACATCAGTCTTACTGGTAAGTTTCCATGGAATTTATGTTTAATGTAAATCTCAAAGGTAGAAAACATTACTTCCTGTGTGCAGCAACTCAAAAGACTGTGGAAGTGCTATTCTGGAGTCATCCCAAAAGATGAAGTAAGCTTCCTTAGGTCCTTTACACATGGGGCTCCACCATACTTCCCCTCATGCTTTAAAAAAAAAAAAAAAAAAAAAAAAAAGTCTAAAATACCAATGTCTGCTGGGGATACCATAAATTAGCTATAAATGTTTAAGGGGAAAAAAAAGAAAAGGCAATTCTGATTCAGTGCCAAACTGGACACAACAACTGCTCACTGATACATTTTCTGCCATTGAATCATTCAATCCAAAGTTTAATTACACATTTCATATTGCTTATCTACTCAGAGTAACCAGCTTTACAGAAAACTTGACTACTGAAAAAGGGGGGGGGGCTGTGGATTTGGGGCTGCAGTCTGCTTTTCTATGTTTCTTACTTGCATAAAACATAAATTTAATGGAAATATTTAGAAGTACTACCAGTTTTACTGATTATGAGAGTAATGTCCTTCTTCACTCATCAAAAGCACATTTAAAGCCCTATCATTTTTTGGTATGGGCCCTCATTTAGTACTTCTTTATATAATCCTAGGAAAGGATATAAGCGTGGTGGCTTGGAGATCATCAATAGCTACTGAAATATTTTCCTTGGCTTTGATCAGACATCCTCACTTGTAAAACCCCATGGGAAACTGTTCTACACCAAACTTCCAGTGAGGACTGCTGAAATGTAGTTTTATCCATTCATTCTCATTATTGCCAGGACAAATAACTTCAGTTCAATGAGACAGACATCATTGCTGCAAGATCATTTTCTGCAATGCTTGATCTAGCAGCCTGCACTTTGAAATCTAGAAATTTGTCTTTTGTTTAGTATAAAAATTGGTCCCTTTTGAAAATTAATTAACAAGACAAGAATCCTTAGAATTCAGCTTTTTGACACCCGTAGATATTCAAGGATTACAGGATTATTGGGATTTCTTTGTTCTCAGGGATTTCTTTTTTAAACTGTTAAAATCAAAACCATTGACATCTAGCATTAGAATTTCTCTGTTACAGACTAAATGACCACAATAGTATAAAACCCTTCCAATCTTTGCTATAAAAAGGGGTTGTATGATGCAAAATGGACAACACTAGGCTGCATCTCAAGAAGTGTTTGAATTAACCAAAGCAAATTATATATCGCCAAAGCTTAGAATGGAGAAATCCCTAGCACACATTTTATTAAACTGACTTACATTATGATTTTTCTCTTTACCATAGTTTTTCTTTTGTCTTGTGATGTAAGGTCTCACACAACAACAGGTATCCATAGAATATTAATTTGACATCCTGTAAACTGATGATGTTCATTGTTATAACCTCTGACTATAAACAATAAAATGACCGATTCCAAATTTATGCTGCCTCTTAACTGAAAGCTGTGCACAATCTAAACTGTGTATAGCTGAAGCCATGTCACTAAATAAACAGTCTTAGATTCAACAAAAATATTAGGAGCTGACAGCACATGACCAGTAAACATACAAACACTTAGCATGATACTTACCTTCCTGCGGTAGTTTTCCAAGTGACAAGCTATGAGATAGCTTATTCAAAATTTTTTTCTTCCCAGTTATACTTACAAAATTTGATAGTATAGCAGATCAAGACAGTTACAAATCAATTCAAGAGACATTTCTATGTGATTTCTAAAACAATGGCAGAAATAATTGTTTCTTTGAAGAGATGCAGTTTCCCCTGATTTTGCTCCTGTATACCTCCTCTTCACTTGGATATCTGCTGCATTCCTTATCTTAATCTTCAGTACTTCTAACTTTCTGTTCAATATTTTACCTATCCTAGAAAATAGGAATATGCTAAACCATACAAATGTAAAATGCTGAATTATTAAAACCTTAAAGATATTGTCAAACAGTATTGAGATCAGTTCATTTCCAGAGTGAACTGATCAGTTCAAGCCCAGAGTAGTGTAAATGCATTATTTTAATGATCCTCATTTTTTCTTAATAGGGTTTCTTTACAAAAGTAAATTCTTT